CGGGAAAACACGGCCGGTGCTTTTTGGTTTTACATATTTATGTGTGAGTGCTGACAGCGTACACTGAGAACTGCCGGGCTGACCTCAGAAATTTAATTCTCTCTTTCCGGCAGAGAATGAACACGGGCTACAGCCAGCTGTTTACGTATTTTTCTTAATGAATACTTAGCAGAGCTGAAGCGCGTGTAAGAGCAGATAATTCAGTGTTATATGGTCTGGCTTCACTGTTGTCAGCAGGACACCGAGCTGGGAGACTCTTTCCTTAATGCCAAGTGCCAGCTCTGTGTCATACTTGGTCCTTTGAACATAAGCACTGGGACGGCGCTGAAATCCCAGGGTGGTTACTGGGAGGGTTTTACTGGGAGTCAGCAGCCTTGTAATGTGGCTTGAGGTGGCTGGTGAGTCACCTTCCTCTTGCTCACCTGAGCAGATCCAGGTATTAACACCGGCTGGGCCAAGATCTGCGTCGTGTTTCTTGACAAAGCCATCGCCGCTTGCGAAGCCTTAATTATAAGGTCGCTGTCATTAAGGTTGTGTCAAGCGCTAATGTGTTTACACGCCGGAGCATAATGTTCCTGCAGTCAGCAGAGTTCAGGAGTCAGCCCTGCGAGGCCAGCACCGCGTGTCTGGGCCAAAGGGAAATAGAGGGGGAAAACTCATGACTTGGATGTTCCTGGGAAAACTCCTGATATTTCCAGTTGTTGGTGTCATGCCCCCAGCCCTCGATTTTCTGTTTGAAGCCTGTTTCTTTTGTCATCGCTTAGCTGCTGTGGTGATGTATAGCCATAAAGGGCTGGTTTTATTTGGAAAATAAATGCACGTGGATTGATGGGTACACGTTAACATAATAAATTAAATTAGTAAGACTTTATATTTTGTAGTTTTGGGGAGAGGTTGTCAGTACATTATTTACTTTCAGCCGCTCAAAGTGAGGTGGACGCAGTGACGTGCTTCTCAAAGCGATGGCCGTGTTTCGGTCAGTGCTAAGCTGCCTTTCGCTGAGCTTATACTTTGCATTTTGGATGCCGTTCGAACAGGACCCGCTCTTTCCCCGGGGCAGAGAGCGCAGAGAATGGATTGTGGCACCAAAACCACACGAGCGCAGGACGCTCCTAGAAATCACGCGGTTTGGAACAAAAGTGCCCAGTGCTGGCTTGCGTTAAAGGCAAAGGGTTTCTGCTGCCCTTGCTGCTGCCGCTGCGGGACTGCAGCTCTAGGGACCTGACAAAACCTAACATCTCCTTATAAAATCCCTTCTCTGGTGCTGGCGTCTTGTAGCTTCAGGTCTGACCATCTAACTGTAGCGTGGTGCTTGAGCATTCATTTCCCTCTAATGTGTTTCTCTGCAGCAGATTTCTGAATTCATCTCCTGCAGTTAATGCTCGTGAGTTTTGAATTTTCTCTGAAGCAAATTGCCTTTTCCTATTTTCTTTCGTTGCTTCCAGTGCACCTTCAAAGGAATGAAGTGCAAATTTGATGGAGAGGCGGATTTGCATGCTCTGTTTACCTCCTTTCTTTTCATGTACCAGCTGGTGAGGAGGAAGAAGCTGGCGTTTTCCTGGTGATCTTTCCTATCAGTTCTGTGGAGTCGGGAAGTCTGTGGCTCCAGCAATAACAAGCCAGTATTGGCGTGCAGTGCTGATAATTTTCTTTGCTGGCTTTAATGTGGTTTGAGTGTCACTGAGCAGTAATCGAGCACGTGTGATAGCGGCACGCGGGTGGTGGTTTTGCAGTTCGGATACCCTGAGCGCTTACTTAATATGCAGTGCTTAATATTCTGGAGCTGCATTTCAGGAAGGGATAAGGTTTGGTCTGTAGCGAACGTCCTTCCTGGTGCACTCCAGTCACGAGCTCGTAGAGGTGAGTGGAAATCCCCAGACAGTCTGTAAGGCTTGGTTTGGCTCTCGGGCTGTTGATTAGGGGTTCCTTAGCTTAAGATAGCAACTGAAAAGGAGCTGGAATGAAAGGTATGAGGGCGTGGGACGAGTTTGCAAGCTCTCTGGTACCAGTTTCAGGGCTCTGAGGCTGCTTCTTATGCCCTTACTTCAAAGTCCTAGCTTCTGCGAATTCTGGGAAGCCAGATAAAAGCACAGAAGAGAGCGGCTGAGCTGAAATACAGGAGTTCTGTGTTGTGTTTCTTTTTATTCCTTTTTAAAATCCTTCCTGGTCTGGGTTTTAAAACAGATTTTACTAATAACTTTATATTTACGATAAGAAATGTGTTCCTTGGGACCTGAGGCCATATAATTATGGTATAGTTGTAAGAGTAAAGGTTTTTCTCTTTTCTTTTTTTCTTTTTTTTTTTCTACACTGTAAGCATAATTGGTTTTTAAAACATAAACACCCTCTGTTGTTCTAAATTACCCAGGCCTCTCAGGAACTTGTTTGTAAAAGAAATCTCCTTGTTTCTGCAGGTGGTACAAGCTTCGCTCCAAACCAGGGAAAAAGGAAAAGGAGAGAGGGGAAATTGAAGTGGATATCCAGTTTATGAGGAGCAACATGACAGCCAGTATGTTTGATTTGTCCATGAAAGACAAGTCTCGCTCCCCCTTTGGCAAGCTCAAAGACAAGCTCAAGGGGAAAAGGAGCAGTGGCCTTTCTGACACGGCATCGGCCATCATTCCCAGCACAACTCACTCCCCCGCTGACAGCGAAGATGAGTCAGTCGAGAAGGAAAAAAAGAAATCGAAGTTCAAAACCCTGTTTTCCAAGCCTGGCCTGCAGAAAACCTCCCTCTCCCAGTCTATGTCAGTCCTACCGACGCAGCAGCCCGTCACCGAGAGGGTTCGGCTTCGGCCCAGCGACTTCCACTCACAATGGGACGATGAGGAGTCTGAGACCTCTTCAACCTCAGAAAGTGAGTATTGGCACTGATGAAGCAAAAAGCCTTTCTCCAAAGGTTTGCTTGTACTTTTCACGCTTTTTAGAGTACTAGTTAAATTATTCTTACTGAACAAATCCGTAGAAAGTCACTTCTGTCCATGGTGGCAGGTATGCACGCAGGACATTAGACACTCAGGGCTAAGCTTACCTTGGGATAGCACAGAAACTGTGGGGCTGCGTGAGTGGTGCAGCATCACAGTAAGTGGTCTGTGGTGGTTTTAGGTCATTGAACAGTGCATGTGATGCAGCCTGCTGAGGGCTGGCAGCGGTAGGGGACCCAGAAAGTTTGGAAGCGACTGGTGTAGTCACATTAGTGATGTTTCTGTTGCTGCAATCCATTAATGACTGTGAAGTACTGAGGCTGTCAGTAGTGTCAGAGGAAAGGATGTTCTTGCATCTTGAATTTCTCCCCGTTTATTTTTTCCAGAAGCCTTTGGAAATGCCCTGGAAGAGAAGTCCTCTCTTTCTCCTGTATTTAAATCTTGTAAAACAGCAACTTTGGACAGCAGGCAACTAAACCAAGTAACCACTAGCCACACCAAGAAAGAAGGGCTCTCTTTATTCAGTGGCCTTAAATCCAAAAACGATCCTGTTTCCAAGTCTAGTCTGTGTATCAATGGCAGTCACGTTTATATGGAAGAGAGCACGACAAAGGACAACACTCCAGCCTCTTCCCCCTCTCCTCACAACTTCAGGAGGAAGCAGCTTTTTGCTTCAGAAGAGAACCTGTCTTCCAGATCTGCTAAAGGACCTGAAGAGACGGGAAGAACATCTCCTAGTCACGCTTTCTCTGGGTCTGCATCCTTGGAGACTTTTAAATCTATGACTTTGCCATCATACAAATTGCTTAGTAGTGAAGAATACCCAGAAACCAGCATTCCTCCAACTGTTGAGGTTATTAAAGAGACCAAAAAAACGGACCACAAAAAGTCTGCCTTGCTCTCTCTGGTCACAGGGAAGAAGGACGCAGTGAAGACCGTCGATGCTGAGAATATTCCCGACAGGACCCTGCAGAATGAGGAAAACAAAGTTCCAGAAGAGAAGAGCGAACAAGAGGCCAAAGGTCTTGAACTTCCAGCAGATTTAAGCAGAGGGAATCCTTCAGAAGACAGTCACTGTGCAGAAGACGTCTTTGCAAATAAGCAGCCGCTCAACCCTTTCGAGGAAGAGTGGAAACCCGAAAAAGCTGCTGCACCAGCGAAGACCAAAGCTGTCAAGCCCAGGTGAGTGGTGTTTGCTTCAGAGGTTGACATAAACAGTGATGCAGCGGTGGTGGCTTTAACCGCGTCCTTCCTGCCGCAGAGCAGCACCTCTCAGCTTGGTGTCCTGCGTGCGTTGCTCTGCAGGGTACCTGCTGGTTTTAAGCTGACCGTTGGGCCCTTAGTTAAATAATAATAATTCTGAGTTCTTTCTCGGTATGAAAAAGAGATTGATGTAGGGATGTTCCTTCTAAGTGATGCTGAAATAGTGGTTCTCTGAGTGCAGACATCTTTGCAGGTACTGTAGGGGTGATTTTTCTTGCTGGATTTCTTGCAAAAACTAACTTCTCTCTGAGCTGTGCAACTTGAACATACCCAGGGGCTGAAATACCAGTTCTAACATCTTTACTTTTCTGTATTTGGCTGTGGCCTTCGAAAGTGTTAATCTTGGAGCCCTTCTGCTTCTGGCACTGTTCACAGCAACATGAAGGACTTTGTGCAAACTTGTACACAAGGCTTTTTCGAAAATTCTGCTCCTTTATCCTTCATATATATATATATATAAACACACAGGGGTTTTTTTATATATATATGGGTGTGTTCTACTAATAAGGCTACGTTTTGTGTCTGTCTCTAACTCCTTATTTTCAGTGCTTCTCACGTTTAAGCATCTTGCATGTGAAGTGTCTTACATACTAATAAAATTGCTTGGGATGCAAAAGATGAGGTAGTGCTTAAAAGCAGACACCGTGGTAACCTGTGCAAACTCTGCAGAACAAGTGTTCTGACATAAATCGAGTGCTTTGTAAAGACACATTCGAGTCTGTAAAGTCTATCAGATATGCTCTGAGGTCTCTTGCAAGTGTAATTCTTCTCCAGTGTTAGGAGTTAATGGAGTCTGGTGCTAACGCTTGTCTGTTCCTGCCTCGTGTTGCATCCGCAAGTGACATGCGAGTTTTTTGTCCCTTTTTGCAGACTGGGCGTGTCTTCAGAGGAGGAAACCAAAGCCGCGCTTCCTACTCTTGCACCTGATTCCCTTCCTGCTTTTCTTTCTGTACACCGTATCAGTAGTGACAATAATCCTTTTATTTCTAAAACACAACAAAAAGTCCAAGTGCCAGACTCTGAAAACGTTACTAGTTCTCCTGCATCCCTTACTTCTCCTTTTGCTGCAGAGCTTTTGAATGGCAAGAACCCCTTTACTCCCGAGTGGGGCAGGGCATCCACAGCCCTGGATCCCGCAGGCATTGCCCGTTTGTCTTCGTCCCATCATCTTGCAGCCTCTGTTCCCAAAACGCCTCTTCCTGGTCAGGTCTCTGGTAGTGGTAATAATCCTTTTGCTTCTGAATGGGGGCAGAGCTCATGGGGCCAGGGTCCTGAAAGCTCTGCTATGAGGGCTTCCCAGGGTCTCTCTCACCCTGCACCTTCTCTCCCCACTAATTGTCATTTCAATGACAATAATCCCTTTGTATCCAAGCTTGGGCGGGAAGCAGATGCGCCAGGTTTCAAAGCTGTTGCTAGTTCTTCCCCTTTCTGCATTCCTTGTGATGAAGACTGTTCCTCAGCAGAACACCCTGCTGAGCTGAAACGCTCTGATTGCGATGCTTCAGGGAGCTCTTCGGATGTGGCTTTAACTAGTGATGTCAGAGCTGTGTCAAACCCCCTTGGCACCCTTTCCGACAACCCTGGTCTGGCTCCAAAGAAGCGTTGCGATTCTCCCCAGCTTCAGGTTGAGACTTCTTTGGAAAGAAGCAAGCTAGGCAACAGGAAATCTGTGTCCTTTCTCCTTGCTGGGTCAGTGGGTGTTACATCAAGTGACGAGGATTTGGGTGGGCAGGAGGGGGAAAAGCAGCACTCTGATTTCAGTGAAACGTTATTGATGGGTTCAGATGCAAAAAGAGAGGGAACAGGGTCTGTTTGCAAACTGGAAGCGAGGTGCTACCCATCGTCAGACCTCTCTAGTGACAGCATAGGTCCCATCCGAAACAGGGAGACCGCTGTTTGGGGTGGTGTGGAAGTCAGTGGTGTAAATACTGAACCCTGCACAACGGACAGCAAGCGCTCTGCGTCTCTCTCAAAGTGTAGTAATAGCCTCTTGGCAGAGATTGGTGCTGAACAGCCACCGTCCCCTGAGCTGAATGAGAAGCAGGAGATCTGTGGTGAAAAGAGATGGGAAGAATGTGCGCCCACATTAGAGCCCCAAGCAACTCTACTTGATAAAAATAACTCATTTTCTCAAGTAGGATCTGCTGAACAAACCTTGGGAGGTTGCACGCTGTCCTCTCAGGAAGCCGATGTAGGGAGGGCTGGTGGTGAGGTGTTAGTCACTCCAAAGCCAGCACCACGGCTGTCATTAACACTGAAGAAGTGCCCGCTGGTTTCTCAGGCTGTTGAGTTAGGCGGTGATGTGCCTTCTTCAGGTGACGGTGTAAAATCTGCGTCTGCGCTCCCATTACCTAATGATAAAGCCTCAGATGCTGGTGGGTGCCTCCCCCAAAGTGGCTCGTTAGAGACTGTCACTCCACCAGTGATTCTCAGAGATGACAACAATAACGGGCATTTAAAAAGTGAGGGTGACGATGATTTATTTGACTGTCTTACAAATCTAAAGTCTGCCATTCCCATTCCCGGAGACCGTGGTTCGAAACTGGCCACTCTTCCGGTCATTCTGGAGGGAGGCTCCGATGACGAGCTGCTGGGTGACTGTCAGGAGAACCACGGTGTCACTGCAGGTGATAAAAACGTTTCAGAGACTGGAAAGCAGTCCGTGGGTTTAACGCCTTTGTGTGAAGAACTGAAGGAGCACTCTGATAGCTCTGCTGCGGCCCCAGTAACCCCGGCCGCTCCAGGAGGAGGAGGAAGTGCTCCTGGTGCTTGTAAGCCGAGCAAACCACCCATGCTGCAGGCCCGAGTAGATGTTCACAGTGTCAATAACCAGGTAGCTGACTCAGGCTTAGGTATGACATCTCATTCCAGGGAGTGTAATAGTCATTTTGAGAAACAAGAAATGAAAATAAGTACAGGTGTTGAGGAGCATGCAGAGTGTGACTTCTTTGAGCCTTCTGTTTCCTCTTCCTCCCTGTCAAGTCCTTCCCAGCCCTACTCTTCCTCTCATTCTCTCCCCTCTGACACCCCAAGTCATAGAGCAGAGTCTCCGAAAAAGCCAACAGCCGAGGGCTTCGCAGATAAAGCAGGAAATTCTGGCAAGAAGAAGCTTCTTCAGGCATGGGTTTCACCCTCTGAAACATATCCTAACCAAACTCAGCAGAGTGGTGAAACCGTGTCTCCTAAGCACAGGTGAGAGAAAATGGGAAATACACAGAAAGTATCTCAGTGCTGATGTGAGCCTTGCTTTTTCTTCCTGTGAGTGCAGATCTGTCTCTCCAGCTGCAGGAATTAATTCACTGCGCTTTGCGGTGACATGACATCGTACAGCCTTAACTTCCTCTGGCCTGTGGCTTTGTTGGGGCCTGGGTCCTGCCATGCCAGCGTAGGGTCGTTGCTGGCACCAGATAAATCTGTAGAGCTATTAGAGACGCCCAGAGCGCTCAAGAGGACCTGCCGTTCATCACAGTGCTACCTCTTAGGAAAAATGTTAGGAAAATGTGGTGGCAGTTTAAGAAATAAGGTCATTTCATCAAACTGGGGAAATGGACTGCAATTCATCCATTTTTCAGAAGTGAGAGAATGATCACAGGAAGCCTGATAAACGGGATGCTTCCTTTCCTGGCTGAACTGGGCTCCTGAGCCTCAAAGTGAATTGCAGCAAGCGATGCAGCTAAAACCCCTCTCTCCCAAGAACGGTGGCTGCTTTCTGGAGCTGTCTGCAGCTCCTCCTGCCTGCTGGGGTACAGTTGGCTGTGGAACAGTGCCACCGACATGTCAGCCCTCAGTACCTCAGAGCTCTGCCTGGGGTCCAGGATGCTTCTGGGCCAGCATTTGCTGAGATACAAGTAAAATTTTCTTCCTGTGTTAAAATTGGCAATATAAATCCTGCTCGAGCAAAGGAAGATAGTGCTTTTTGGCAGCTTATGGCCTAAGTTGAGATTGGAAAAGGCATAATACATGCTTGTCCCAGGATAATAGAAGTGTTTGATATGTTGCAAGAACCACAAATGCGTTCTCGTTAGGAAAGGCAGGCTCAAATACTAGTGTGTGAGAGATCAGAGTAACTGTCGCTGTGTACTGCCTTCTCATGTAGACTGACCTGGCTTTTCTTTTGTGACATACCGTTCAGGATGTATTTCCCTTGTTAATGCTGCTTTATCTCCAATGCCTTAAGTCAATAAAGATAGAAAGAGAACTGGAGTACACTTATAAAAAGCCTATGGCTTAGGCAGAAATGCCTTGTCTTTCCCAAGCTGAATCTCTCTGGAGATAGAGAAGGGTAGGTGTAGTACTGTAGTTATATGTGTAGTGCTGCTGTTATATGTGCTGCCTAAATAACATAAACCTTTTTTAATGTTGCAGACTCCATCCTGTGAAGCCAATGAATGCCACAGCAAACAAGACTCAAAGTAAAAACCTGAACGTCATCAGCACTATGAACGAAAAGCTGCTCGAGATGAGCGTGAAGGTACGGAGGGAAGAGGCACTTTAAAAGCTTAGGCAGTAAATTGCACAGAGTTCATGTATTCGAGATAGTTTGTCTAGGCTCATATCTCCTCTGTCTTGAGCAGAAAAAGAACAGTGGTTATTAGATCGTGGGGGGCATGAACTTCCTTTTTGTTAGTCCCCAAAGGTGGGCACAATCTTTAAATATTTATTTTCTTGCAAACTGATCTATAATGGAATTGGTGCCTTTTGCTTGCAGAGGGGATCCTGAGTGTAGAGGAGTGTGGGGTGCTGTCTGGCTCCACGAGGTGAGCGGGATGTGTGTGACCCGTGAGGTGGCTGTGACAGGAACCACGGGTGACTCGTGGGGGTGCTACTGAAGATTGTTGGTGACGTGGGGGAGCTGCGTAACTTGCGTCTGCACAGAAGGCTGGACAAATCACTCACTGTTTATTTTCAGACGCAATTAGTCCCTGAAGCTCATTTTCACCCTGAAATAAGTTTGTGGCTCTTAAAACCGAGAAGGTGGGAAAAGTCACTGCAGGGTGGCTGTTGCCTTGTAATGTGTTGCATTAACACCCCGTGCAGATTGAGAGGCCAGCCCTTAAAGCACGGCCGCTTCCTAAGAGCATAGCAGTGCAGCGTGCGTAATCACTCAGAGTTAGAGGAGCTTTTTGCATAATCTTGGCCTCAAAAGAGACCTCCAGGCTTGGGGTGTAGTTGAAAAGTCATGTTGATCAGAATGGCTAGAAGTGTCTCTGGATCAGCAGGGAAAAACCCTGGCTGCTAATTCTGCCTTTAAGGGGTTTGGGGAACATGAAGAGTTAGTGCCAGAATAACGGTAGTGCCTGTGTGTAGGTGGAGAAGAACAGCATGTCAGTTAGGTGATTCAAACTGGCATGTTGCTATTTTGAATGACTTGAAAACTTGTAATTTATATTCTGGTGTGGTGCTCTGATTCCACGTGAGAAATGACACTCGACGTAGCCAGGTGAGCCTGTTGCATACCTGGGCTGGCACTCGTGTAGTGTCTGAGAAGGTAGCTGGAGGAATTGGCAGAAGCTGCTAAGTACCTGCTAAGGTTGCTTAAGGGTTAAAAGCAGAGTTTTCGGAGAACCTGTGTTGTTTTCACAGTGATAATTACAATAAGAGGGAAATGCCAAAGGCCTAGGTGGGTTTTTCTTGCTGTTTGACCTGAATTTGGAACAATAGCTGTCCCAGCGCTTGTTTATAAACGATGGTAGCTGATGGTACGTGGCTGTAACTTCCGTGCCTCTTTGCTAAGCTGGGTGCGTTGCTGCCTGGAGTCAGCATGACATTCTTTCAGCGTAGATTGCAGCAGAGTTGCATTACAGAACTGACGTTAGGCAAAGATTTTTATGCTAAAACTGATGGCGTGGTTACCGTCCATAACAGTGCTCTCACTCTGAGCCTGCCTTCTGTTCTGGAGAAGACTGCCTAAGCTCTACAAATTGTGTCTCTGTGCCATAAGTAGCACGCACTTACTCCGAGGCGGCTGCTCTTTTTTCCTCTAAATACTTTCCTCTAAAGCGATTCCGAATTCTGGAAGTGCATGAGTAGATAGTGTTTGGTATGAATTTTCCCAGGCTAGGTTTGCTAATGGCCCCAAAGGTCCTTTGTAGCCGAAAGCTCGCCTGGCCTGCCAGCCTCTCCCTGTCGTTGTTAGTGCCTTGGCTGCTGCACAGCTTGGCTCTGAGCAGCCTGCTGCTCGATCCTAAAGTGCTAACAACTGCTGCTCCAAAATGTTATTTGCATGGAACTTACTTTTAAAAAGATACGAAGCACAGTAGTACTTGCAAAGAGCAGCTGTGGTTCTGCAAACGCTGTGTGTAAAGTTGTTTATTGGTGCTTTCGATCCCCCAAGCCAGCTACTAGATACCATTCTGTTGCTGTTTTGAAATGCCCGTATGTCTGTAATGACCCTGCCTTTCTTCTCTCTCAAAGAAATATGATCCTTCAGATCCTGCCTATGCTTATGCTCAGCTAACACACGATGAGCTGATCCAGCTGGTCTTGAAACAGAAGGATACCATTACCAAGAAGGATCTCCAGGTGCGTGAGCTTGAAGACTACATCGATAACTTGCTTGTCAGAGTCATGGAAGAAACCCCAAACATTCTTCGTGTTTCAACTTCTGGAAACAAAAAAGCTGGAAAGATGTAAAAGCTCCCGGGACGTTGGTTGAACAAAGGACTGAATTCCCGCCAGCGGAGTATGATGAATAAGGAGATGATGTGAAGTAGGTGGTGCCGGTTGTGCTGCCCACAGAAAGTAACCTCTTTCCTGTTTCTGCCTTGAGCAACTCTCAGTTTGATTAGTAGTTACATCAGGTCTTGCATATGGAGTCCAGAAGTGAAGTCAACCTATCATATTTATTTTTTTGTTTCTTTCCATCATTTGGGAAGATTTGTTCAAGCATCTAATCCAAAGGCCGGTTGCGATAGGAAGGATGAAGGGTTTTTGATGTCCTTTGCTTGCCAGCAAGGCACTGATGATCCTTTATGAAGATTTTTTTCATGGTTTTGTTTTGTAGCAGCTTTGATAGATCAATTACTCTTCTTTCCATTTCTTAAGTTGTAGTACAATATAAAATCTTGTACAGTAGAGCTTGAGGATTTGATTGTTTTTAAATAATGATAATAATAACTACTACACTGGAGAAATCCAAAGATGTGTGCTTCAGACAGGGCTGTGTGGACTGTATTTTAAAAGTAATTAATGCCCTAAAAGTTAAATGTAAGTTAAACCTTAGCTTGGAAAGGAAGAAGCAAAGCTTAGTTAATCTCATAAAGTGCGTGTTGTTTCGAAGCAGTTCTCCAAGGGGAAGGTTTACAGGTTTTTTGGTATAGGAAACATTGAAATGTCGAGGTACGTTTGCCTGCCATAGGAATGGCAGTAATGAATTTGGGCCAAAGGTGCATTTTAAATCAGACACCGTTCTCTTACAGACTTTAGATTCCCAATTCGAAGGTCGTTCAAACGAGGGAGGCAAAGGGACGCCTGGTTTCTGTTCTGTGGCCTTCAACGGGCGTGGATTTCACAGCACACGTGCGTGGCCCCGTGTGTCTTGCCATGTGAGAGTTCTGTGACAGTTTTCCTTCTACATCATTGCAGTTTAATAAATTTAAATACCTTGGATTTTGGAGCTGGGGCTTACCTTGGAACGACCTTCGAAGGTGATCAATCTTACAAGCGCTTCCTTTCCTGCATTCCTTGTACAACCAAGAGAGGAACCGAATCGCCCTCCCCTGGGGATGGGAGCAGTCACAACGCCGGTGCTCAAATCTGGTTCGGTTTTCTCTGTGACTTGTTGCTTAGAATGGAATGAAGATTTTATGCAGCTGAGAAAGAGTGCTGGTTTTGCTAGACAATCCATACCTCTCGGTCTGCTTCCTCAACATGTGGCTGCTTTGCAGCTCGGTAGAGGGAGGTATGTTCTCCTCCCCAGCTCATGGGACAGCAATTGCGCTATCAAGCAGCCACCAAAACAGGCTTCCTCCACTGAAAAACTAAATGTGGCTTTTTTTCTGGTGAGCTCTTGTCAAAGATCAAAAAAATCAGATGCCTCTTTGCATCTCTGGGATTTACCAGGGTTGTGAGAGTCCGTAAAAGGCTTAGAAGAAAGTTGAAATACTGAAAGAGCGGGTAGCAGAGGACCAAAGCGAACGCTCCTCCCTGTGGAAGTTGAAAGGGTCTGTTGGGTCACTCCTGGCTGGGCTCAAGAGGGGGGAGTTTCAACTCGTTTTTTCTACAGCAAAGCACTTTATTGAGGGACTAGACCAGCTGGATTGACTATCAACCTCTTAGTAGTCTGTTTATTTTCATAAAACACAGAAAACTACTGGAGACTTCTCAAATACTGTATTTTTGTAGTGAAGAGTAGTTTAATATATTTGCCTAGAGATGTATACATTTATTGGAAAATTCAAAAAATGCTGTTAATTACATTTTTATTACTGTAAACTGACTAACTACCAAAGTCTGGAGCTTTTCTGACAGAGCTGTCCTTTGCGGGAAGCTTGAGTTGAAACAAGCCTTAAGTGTCAAGAGTCTTCTAAGACTTCAGGTACTTTTTTTCTAATTTTATTTGAGCAGGTGTCTTTAGTGAAGGGTTTTTTTCTTTTCTACTGTACCCTCTTCTGTGAATGAAGGGTCTGAAACGCAGGAGGTCTTAATGGCATCTTCAGCTTTTGGCTGGTGGTTTTAATTTTGAGCGGTACTGGTTGGCCTTCCTGAAAACTGCTGCTGCTTCTCGTGCCTTGGAATAGTGAGGAAGATGAAGGATTAATTTGTTTCCTCCTTGTGCCTCGGTGGATCTCTGGGAAGAAGGGGTTGCCTATACCTCACTAATAAACTCGTCTTCTAGACTTTATTCCAGAGCTTTCTGATGTTCTAGGTCAGAGAGTCGGAAAAACCGGTTGTGCCTTTGAAAGGTGGCTTAACGGTTCAAAAATCAAAACCCGGTATTATCGGTAGTTGTAACTGGACACGTGGGAAGCAAGACTGGACTCTTGCTTTTTGCTGGCCTCATTTTAAAACAATATGGGTACTACTGAGTCGCAGGCTGCTGGAGGCACCCCGGTGCTGCGTGCGATGGAGATGTAGCCTTGAAACCTGTCATGTCCTCTCCTGGCAGACTTTTTGCCAGCTACAGCCGTGACTGTTGAGGTGGACTGTTGAGGTGGACGGGTGGGGGAGCAGGCTTTTGCCTCTGGGGCTGTTTGTTACCTGCGGTGGCTGCAGGTGTGGAGCCTCCTGCCAGAGCAGCACGGGCGCTGCTGCAGGGTCACGGTCCTGTGCCGTCCTTCGACTTCCATGGCTGGGAAAGCATCGCACAAACCTCGTACCTCAGGCTTCTGTCGGCAATACTAGGTAAAGCCTTTCTTTGGCGTAAGGGGGCTGGCATTTTATGTCCAGCGAGGTGCTTCACCTTGACTTTAAGGGCCTTAAGAATCAAATGTATTGTTTTATTATTGAAGGATCTGAATGTATTTTTCCCTGTTTATACTGTCTGCTTTTATCCTCGGTACCTATTTGTTTTTAAATGCCTTTTGGTTTCGTGGAACACTAAAATAAAAATACCTTAAATCCATTGTTCTGGTCCCTTTGTCTTTTTTTTTTTTTTTTTTTTTTTTTTTTTTTTTGTAGCTGAAGGGGAAGTGAGCTAGTGCTTAATGTTTCTCTCTGCCCAAAACTCCCCGTCCTCAAAGTGTTTTTGGGTTAGTTCCATCCCTGCAGGAAGTTCACGGCAAACACCTCGCAGGGTGGGGAAACCTGATAGACGAGCTCATCCCGCATCCCGAGAATCGAGAGTTTCTGTGAAGCAAAAAAAACAACCAACTGTGAAAGGTTCTTGGCCAGGAGCCAGTTCAATCACCCCACGTCCCTAATGGCCTCAAATTGTGGGCAGCGATGACAAGAGAGGAAATCAGCCTCCCGCTGTCTCGGGGCCATTTAGCCTGAAACCTGCCTGCGCTGCGGGAGCCCTGAGTGCTGTCATCGCCCTCATGCGCTGGCGCTGAGGGGCGGGGTGGGGGGGGGGTGTCACCCGGACCCCCCCCAGCACATCAGGGCGCTGGGGAAGGATGCAGCTCAGCCCTGAGGAGAGCGGGGACCGTGACCCGTGGCTGATGAGTGTCCCGAGGGGAAGGGTTTTAGCATTTCGCGCGTTGTCCCCTCGTC